ACAATAACAAAGATCATGATACAGATATAGTTATTGATGCGAAAATCATATATATATATATATATATATATATATATATATATATATATATATATATATATATATATATATATACATATATATATATATATATATATATATATATATATATATATATATATATAATGTATATTTATAAATTTATATATATACGTACACACACATACACACACATACACACACGCACACACACACACACACACACACACACACACACACACACACATACACACACACACACACACACACACACATATATATATATATATATGTGTGTGTGTGTGTGTGTGTGTGTGTGTGTGTGTGTGTGTGTGTGTGTGTGTGTGTGTGTGTGTGTGTGTGTGTGTGTGTGTGTGCATGTACGTAAGTACGTATGTATGTATGTATGTATGTATGTATGTATGTATGTGTGTGTGTGTATATGAATATATGTGTGTGTAGCACTGAAGATGAAGTCAAAAGCAGTTAAAAATAACCATATTTACAAATCAACACCAGTGATATTTTCAGTATTTAGAGAAGAACCGTGCTCACAACTTTGCGGGATTCTACATTCAATTTTCTTAAAGAAGCAAAGATGCATTTGAAAGTTTCTTAATCATTAGCTGGATGCAACATATCCAAATGAAAAAAAATAACTGGATGCATCATGACCAAATAAAAGAATTAACTGATTGCAACATGACCAAATAAAAGAATTAACTGATTGCAACATGACCAAATAAAATAATTAGCTGGATGCAACATGACCAAATAAAAAAAATAACTGGATGCAACATGACCAAATAAAAAAATAACTGAATGCAACATGACCAGATAAAAAATAACTGATTGCAATATATCCAAATAAAAGAATTAACTGGATGCAACATGTCCAAATAAAAGAATTAACTGATTACAACATGTCCAAATAAAAGCATCAGCTAAATGCAACATGACCAAATAAAAGCATTAGCTGGATGCAACATGTCCAAATACAATCGTTGTATTTCAGTTAGTAGTCATCATTAATCCGTCAGTTATCAAATAGTCATCATCACTAATCGTCAGTGATCTTCAGTCTGTTACGTTCATCGTCGCCTCGATAAAAGATGAAGAAGAAGAAAGAAGGAAAAGTAGAAGAAAAGAAATTGAAGAAGAAGAAAAAAATAGAAGAAGAATAAAAGAAACAGAAGAAGAAGAAGAAAAAAATAAAAGGAAAAGAAAAATAGGAGAACAACATGAAGAAAAAGAAGAAAATAAGTAGAAGAAAAAGAAAGAGAAAAAAAGAGAGGTAATATAAGAAGAAGAAGAAGGAAAAAGAGAAGAGACATAAGAAGAAGGGAAAAAAGTAACAGAGGAAGAAGAAAGGAATAAGAAAAAGAAACATAAACAAGAAAAGAAATATAAGAAGAAAGAAAAAGAAATAAGAAGAAGAAGAAAGAAAAAGAAAAAAATATAAGAAGAAGGGAAAAAAGAAAAGAAACAGAGGAAGGAGAAAGAAACATAAGAAGATAAAAAAGAAGAAAAAAAAAGAAGTATAAGAAGAGGAGGAAAGAAAAAGAAAAAAAAAAACGGAAGAAAAAAGAAAAAATACGAAAAAAATCGTTCCAGCTGCACTGTGTCGATCAGCTGCTCCCACTTCCAGTCCCATTCAGCTGTTTCCCTTTGTTCCATATTTGTTCCATTTGCCTCTTCCCTTTGGTCTGATTGCCTCTTCCCTTTGTTCTCTAGATGGACAATTGTTCAATTACATCAATAGCTTTGCCAAAGTCGTAGTATATTCTGTCTCATTTCCATTGCCTTTCATATATTTTGATGTGACGATGATTTATTTTCATTGCTTTATCGTTTTGTGTTTTGATACGTTTCTGGTTCTGCTTTCGTAGCCCGGGGAATAAGCGTCGCAAGCACAGCCACCGCGCGAGTCACAAGCACAAATTTCCCGGGTGACGAGCGTGCGAAGTGTGTGCGTGTGGGCTGGACGAGGCTGTTTCACGGCGGCGATGTCCATAAATCATGCAGGAAACTCATGAGCCTCGCGCGGCCGGTCGTGACAGAGGTGATAAACTGTGTCACTACATAGGAGAGATATTCAGCAGGTATGAAGAGCCCGAAAGAGCGAAGGGGAGCGACAGGGTTGGGAGACGGGCGAGCGCATTTTGGTTCGGGGTCGAGAACGTAGGAGGAATTCAGTGCGGGCGGCCCGGGTGGCAAGTCCGTCGACTGGTAATTTATCAGACTCTCTCTCTTTTTATGTATATATATATATATATATATATATATATATATATATATATATATATATATACATATATTATATGTATATTATGTATATTATATATATGTATATATATATATATATATATATATATATATATATATATATATATATATATATGTGTGTGTGTGTGTGTGTGTGTGTGTGTGTGTGTACACACCCACACACACACACACACACACACACACACACACATGAGCAAACATAATCAAAGAGAAAGGGAATAACTGTAACCAAATCCAGCCGAGACAGAGAGGAGGCCGTCGAAGGCACTGTCTGTAAATCATCTTTAATGTCAAAACAAACCGATAAATAGATATACAAACAAAAGCAAAAACAGACTAATAAAAGACACAAACAACACAGATCGCGAGATATGTAATCAAGCTGCGCGGCATACAGCATTAGCGCCGATAATATGCTGCCTGTG